GCCAAACAGGTGCCACAAGGCACCATCCGGCAGGAACCAATGCAGATTGTCAATGCAGAGACCCTGTTCCCAAAGACGGGCTCCTTGAGTTTGAAGAAACAAAGAAACACACTCCGTCTGTTTCAAAAGAGGCGCGCCGTTTGTTTTTGTTTCTTTTGTTTTGCAAACCTCCCTTTCTCTTGCAAAAACAACTACAACCACAAATAACAATAAGAAAGGTGAAAAACACAACAACAAACAATAGCAGCAAAGCAGCAAAACAAAAACATACAAAAACAAAAACCGACAAACAAACAAACAAACAAACAAACAAACAAACAAATAAACAATCAAACAAACAAACAAGCAAGCAAGCAAACAAGCAATCAAACAAACAAACGTACAAACAAACCAAGAAGGCGTTGGCTCCCGCCGCTGTCTCTCTCTCTCTCTCTCTCAAAGGCCTTCCCGGACCTAGTGGCCAGAGCTCGCACCTAAGGGCGGACTCCGATCGCACGACGCTGGGCAGCCATTGGGATGTGCCGCCTTGAGTCACTCAGATGGCTGTGGGTCAAAACCAATGGTACCATTGTGGAGTAAGTGCACCACCCATATTAGTCTATTTTAGTGGGGATTGGGATGTTCACTGGGGGTACGGGATTTGACCCATGGCCAGATGGTACCAAAGGACTTTTGCAATGGAAGGGTGGTCCGAGAAAAATGGAATTGCGGCCTTGGTGGGGGGTGGGTTCGGAAAGGGCCGTTTGTGACAGGCCCCATTGAACCCAATGTCGGGGGCATTGAAAAAGGACACCGTCGGCAATATCCAGTTGCGAAGGGCAATTCATGTGGATGTTTCTCAAATAGGCCCCCTGAAAAGGTGTCGCGCTGGTGAGGACCCATGGCACGAAAAGGTCTTGGGGGGCAAAAATGGGTGCGCTCAGCCCGACTGCGACACAAAACGCGCTTCGAGTGCACCCTCTCAGCACTGCACATATGCCTGCCACATCTCAAGCACACCCGCTCAAGTGCGTGCGCAGGGCACTGCGCACATGCCTGCCAAATGATAAGCCCGCTCGTCACCTGCGTCCGTCCGGCGCTGCACGCACGCAACAGATTCTCACAAGCTCCAAGCACACTGGGCCCGGCCACGACGCGAACTGAACGGGAGTCGTTTCTGGAGAAAGCCCCCCGTGTTTCAGTTCGTCCGGGTGCCCTTCAACAGAAAATCCAATGCAAAGCTACGGCCAAGTGGAGTCAGCAGTCCAGGGCCCTGGGCCCATCCGGACGTGCCCAGCGGTTGGAAGAAGGAGGCCAAGGTCTCGAACCTGTCGATCCGCTCGCATACGGGCGTGTCCTGTTGCCAATCTGCGGTTGGGATGGGTTCCCCGCGATCTTCCAGTGCAAATCCGTTGTTGATGAAATCCAACTGGTGGTTTTCGTGGGGACCCCCTTCCGGTTCATTCCCAAAACCCTTCAAGGAACCCAAACAACCATGCTGTTTGGGAGAGATCTCCCATAACAAGGCTCCAGTCCAGCCGAAGATGTGTGACATCTCTGTCACACACAAATGGCCATGGGTAAAAAGCCCGTACCCCCAGTGAACATCCCAATCCCCACTAAAATAGACTAAAATGGGTGGTGCACCTTTACCAAAATGGTACCATTGGTTTTGACCCACAGCCAAATGGGTGTGTCTTATCCCCCTGTTGGTTCGAAAGGGCAACAAGCGGAAACCAACCATTTTGAGGGTTCCCCCGGTCTAAGGAGACAACTCCAAATCGAAAATATACGGAAAGCCCAGGACCTACATGCGTCAGCCTGGACCCCCCAAAACTGAAAGGTAGCTCTCTTGATTTCGCTTTGTTGTTGCACACCTGAAAGGGTAAGTATCAAATACACACAGAAAGACAGACAGACAGACAGACAGGCAGGCAGACAGACAGACAGACAGACAGACAGACAGACAGAAAGACCGACAGACAGACAGACAGACAGACAGACAGACAGACAGACAGACAGACAGACAGACAGACAGACAGACAGGCAGGCAGGCAGGCAGGCAGGCAGGCAGGCAGGCAGGCAGGCAGACAGAGACAGACAGAGACAGACATAGAGATAGACAGAGACAGACACAGAGACAGACACAGACACAGACACAGAGACAGACACAGACACAGAGACAGACACAGAAACAGACACAGAAACAGACACAGAGACAGACACAGAGACAGACACAGAGACAGAGACAGACACAGACAGACACAGACACAGAGACAGAGAGACAGACACAGAGACAGACACAGAGACAGACAGAGAGACAGACAGAGAGACAGACAGAGAGACAGACACAGAGACGGACACAGAGACAGACACAGAGACAGACAAAGAGACAGACATCATGGCCATGGGTAAAATCGCTTGTCTCACCGGGTGACCCGCAGCTCCTGTTTTGTGGGTTTCCCTCCCCCCATCTCACTTCCTCAGCTCTGGACGAAGGACGCAAAAAAGCCAAAGGGATTCCCCATTCTGAGGGAAACCCACATGGTTCAACAAGTCCGGCTGAATTGCAATTGCAGGCCTGGTGAATGGCAAGTGCAGTCATGATTCACCAACCTGAAATCGGGGAAAGTGCATGGCACTTGTTGGTGGTGGCTTTTCAATTTAGGAATCGGAGCCCCTGAAAATGCCATCATTTTGTGAACAACTACAAGCCTGTTGATTCCCTGCTCCAATAAAACCAGCTTTCCTATTGTTTTTTAGTAGTTCCGAACTTTTGAGACAGATCTGTATGGGTATTGTCCCAACAAACAGAGAGTAAAGATGATGTGAATTTCCAAGGGTTGTCACCCTCCAGCTCGCTGAAGTAGACATTTGAAAGCTTCAGGGTTGCTCACGTTCACAAGGATAGGCTGTCCCCTGGTTTGGTCATTTACAGCTTCAGAGCTAAGCCGAATACTTCAGTCGTTGACTCCTGCAAAAGTTCATACCGTGTTCCTAGTTTGTGATTGGAAAGCGTTGTCATGGATGATCACTAGTTGTTAATTGGTGGTTGAACAATTTGGTCATTCTAGAAGGATTAACGTCAGCTTGGTCAGACCACAAAGGCCTTTCAACTTCCATCCATCATTGTTATAAAAACGGGGCAACCCTTCTGCACAAACCACGAGCTGAGAGGGCTGTGGAAGACTACAGTTGGAAAGACGGTACCACTTCTATGCCTTGTATACAAGAGTTCAGGGGAAGCCACAAAAGAAAACCAGCCGTTTTGCTTTTTGAAACAAATCGAAATTCCTGTCAAGATCATCCCACGTTTCAACATGACCATTATGAACCTGGGCTGGTTCACCTCATCACTGCAAAGTGCTTGGTAACCTTCATCATGATCCAAAAAGTTGCAAGGTGCCAACTTGTCAGCACCAACCTGGATTTGTTTGCCATTTTTCAAGCCAAAAACAAAACAAAGTTAAAGCTCGACCAGCGGGCAACCACCAGCGCTTGGCCTTTTCTTTCGGAACCCGTCTTTGCCGCCCCCCCCCCCCCGGCCATCAGCCGAATCCCTCCGAGGGCTCCGGCCCGTCAGCCGGGCGCAGCATCAGCGTGCCCCACACGTCCCCGTCGGAGATCAAGCGGCCCTCGGGCAAAGAGCCATTTGGGGCACCCCCGGTTTCTTGTTGGATTCCCTTGAAACCAAAAGGCGACCCCAAGTTAGGTGGCCTTGAAAACAGGCCACAAGGCAAGAAACGGATGAAAGTCCTCACGTCCCCCAACCACTCTTGAGGTTCCCACTGCATTTCGTAGCCGAAAGCCGACCCCAAACTAGGTGGGTTCCCCAAAAAACCCGGAGCCAGGGTCGAAACATATTGCGAAACGTGTTCAGGCCCCCCGGTGATCGCCTCTTAAACCAGGTTCTTTGGTTGCAAGCCAAGGGTCTTTAAGTTGTGACTTTGTGTCATTCTGAATTTCCTGGTTGAACCCCCTTTGATTCGCAGGCATAGGAAAGGTTTAACGGCCTTCCGTCATTTGGCACTTGGCCGTTCCAGCACCGCCCCCCAAGAAAAAAGACCATATAGGAAGCACCCGGGAACCCAACAAAAAACTTGGGCAAAACGAAGTCTTCAGGCAACATCCTTAGGGGTAGAACAACCTGCTTCCACTTGCTTCAGTGCCCTTAAAAAAATGACACTACTTCAGTGGCAGGCCCCCTTTAAAACCAACAAGGGGAAATAAAGCATTCTTAAGCATGCGGAAGCCTAGGATGACGAAGTGCTGCAAACAACCTAGTGTTGCAAATGTATTCTCCTCTTTGTATTGCCAAGCTTGTGTCAAGCCCAAACATGCCAATCGAGCAGCGCTCAATCAACCCATTGACGGTTGGTTGTACCCAACTGGTGATAAAAATATGCTCGCTAAAAAGCAGATTGCCCCCCCCCACACGATTATTTTGGGGCCGGTACTTTCTCCCCAAACCAGCATTGGACTACCAACAATATTGTCACCCGCATAATTAGAACGGAGGGCATTTGGGTGCGCCTCCTTTTGAGGATATCCTTTTTGTGGGTGTTATAAGGAAAAACCAAAGAGAAGACACTCATTTTGAGATACCCGGGCTGCAGAACCCCGACCTCAGCAGGGAATGAGCGAATGACCCCCATCAATCATCCAACCGGTGGCTTCCTTTGAGGGGATGCCTTCCTTCTCAAAACCCATCTTGATCCCCTACCTATCGAACAACATACGAACAGACCCACAGCCGCGAGCAGACTGGCCAAGTCGCCACCAGCCAAACATCTTCCGGCAGCAGCACTCCCCGAACCTGCCATTGGAATCCCCAGGAACTTTGGACATGATCGCTTAGCTTTCCTTGAGGACTCCTGGGATTCCTATGGTTGCAAAAGGACCCCTACGGTTGCTCACTTGGGAAGATGGGGGGAATTCTCGCCATTTTCAGGGTCCTCTATCTTGACAGACACATAAAGTGAGCAGAGGTGTCCTCAGCTGAGAGCCACACACGGATAGCATGGTGCCTCTTTGGTTCTCTGCAACCCCCAAAACGAACCAACTCCAAAAACAAAACAAAAAGCCTAGTACTGGGGTGGCTTTGGGGGGAGGGTTGCATCACTTTGGCAAAGGATTGTCTTTTGAAAAGGCTGCCGACCACGTCAAGCCACAACCCCACCCTGCTTCTAGTGTCAAAACCCTTTCTTTCCGCTAAGTGCAATCGATCGGGGCCGGAGGAGGGTGGTGAACGAGAAGAATTGCGAAACAGCAGAACTTCTTTCCAAAGGAGTCATTCTTCTAGCTGTGCCGACCAGTCTTTCCAGAGTTCCTTCGTTTCCGCAAATGGGCCAAACAAAGAATGCGGCTGATTCTTGAATAGAAGGGAGGATCAACCAGCGATAAGCTAACAAATCCTTTTCAGGCCGACCCCACTAGCGGTCGCATTAGACGGTCTCTGCAAACAATTTGAGATTTGGTTGTGAAATCCGGGTCAGAGTCCAACTTCAATTGCGCGTTTCACATTTAAAACTGCAAATCCAACAATGCCTTTTGGTGGTGTTGGACGAGAACTAACGGAGACCCCCTTTTGTGGGAGTTCCCTCAGAAAAGGAGAGACCCAGATTGGAAATCTCAGCAAAGAACCTTCATTGTGGTGCGAATCACCGTACCCATCGGTGAGCTCCAGAAAAATATTGAGCTCCCATTCCGGGCGAACTCCCGCCATTCCCTCCGCTACTTTCAGCTTCTGAAAGCGCGTAAGGGAAACGACCCGGTTTCTGACTGTCAAAATAAATGACCCCAGGGACCCAGATTTCATTCTGGGATGAATCACTGTACCGAACTGTCAAAACTTCGATCCCAGCCTTTTTTCTTCCCGTACATTTGGTGTCCTTCCTTCGGATCTGCCTCGCGGCCGTCGGCATGCTGCTCCTCGAACACCACATGATCCTCGAGGGAGAGGCGGTAGGAGCCTGGGAGGCGTTTCGATGCATGCCTTGCATTTGATCAAAACCTCTAGGGGTTGATTCCCTTCTTTTCAGCCAGCGTTCTTTTCAGAAACCAGCCATTTCCCCAGGGTTTTTGGTGGTTTTCCAGAAAGAAGGATCCCTGGAAAGAATGGACATGGAAGTTACCCCTAGAAAACCAGCTGGGGCGCAGGGAGACTTCCAGTCAGCCACAAAACGTCTGACCCATTGCAAAGTCCAGGAACTCAAGCAGGGGCGAGCTGTATCTCCCACAGCCCTGCTGAATCAATCTGTGAATGTCCGCTCGAGGGCTTGGTGGCCCAATGCATACATCCAACATCAGATTCACAAGGATTCGGATCCAATGAAGCTGGAGATGTGATGTTTGTGTTGCCAAACTGCAGGAACCCAAGATTCCCTTTTTAACCGACAGTGGGAGGGGATATTCCCAAGAAAATGGAAGGTGAGCTAATAATTAGTTCATACGACTTGGAGAATAGTGTCCAAGGGTGGATGGTTGAAGCCCGATCAAACCATGTGGCTGCCCCCAAGACGGACTGGATGTCCTTTAGAGACAAAAGAAAAAGTGTTCAACTCTGCATGGTCGAATACACTCTAAGGGAGACTTGCCTTCATGCGGGGAAGAACGGGCAGCGTCCGTGCAAGCTCCCTTTGCAACGACCCCTAAAAGAGCACCAACTCCCGACACGCAAACTGTTCTTGAGGAGGCATTGCACTTTGCTTGATCTGTTGTTCTAACCGATTGATTTTGGCTTTCGTGGTTAAAGAAACTGATATTTGGAAGTCACCCAGGCTCTTAACTATTGGGAAAGCACAAACTTGTGGCATGGTCATGACCTTAGACCCGGTAGGAACTCCAAGAAACAGAAACAGAGATCAAAAAAAAACATGAAAAGGGGGGGGGATAAGAACGAGCAAAAAAGCCAGAAACGGAGGGGGGCGCAGGACCCCCCCCCCCCTCCGTTCATTTTTCTGTCTCGTTCCTCGGGCTCCCCTGCTGCCGGTCTGATAGCTCCATGTGCCGGCCACCCAAGCCTGGCGCTGCCAGGGCTCCGGGGCCGAGGGTTTCAAGGCCATGTTTTGCCCTACCTTGGTTGACGTTGGGTTTGGGGAGCAAAAAAAATAAGTTCTAGCAGCAATCTGGTTGGATTTCAACCACTAAACCCACAAGAAGCAAACATGCAAATATGTTCCCAACAACCATGCATCACCTCAAAAAGCCGCATCAAGTGGCAGCCGAAAGCTGAGAAGCTTTAACTGAAACACACAAAAAACCATCTGTGGCAACCCAAGTGGATGCCTTGAAAGGGGAAACCAAAATGAAGCAAAAAAAGACCACCTGAAGGAATGGGTCCTTCATTTTCAGCAACACATGTCTTGGCCTTACTAACTGCGGATGTGCAAAAGTCCGCGCCCAGTAGGAAAGTGGTGGTTCAACCAGTCTTCCATTTACATTTCAGCCATCCCAACTGGTGCGAAGTGGATACTGCATGTTTTTGTCCATCCACGGTCTGAGATCTCTTGGGGGCACACCCTGGACGGCCTTTTGGAACCGACCCAAAGTGCAATCACACACACACACACACCGACATCTTGAGGGGACCACCATCACACACCCGAAAAGGCAAACACTGGTCCAAATTGGGATCGCGGTGTTTGGGGGGAGTTGGTTGAGGTGTAGTTCAAAGCTCTATTATCCAAACTTCCACTGTTGTTGGAAACCGGGCAATTCACAAAAAACAACGTTATCCCTGAAGGGCCTTTGTGTTGGAACCGACCCGAAAGTAAAAGGTGCCGGAACCAAAAACAGAGGGGAGGAACTATCCTCAAAGTGAATGTACAAATACAAATCATTCGCTTCAATCCCAAAACCTGGATATTTTGTGTTGCCTTCCGTCATTGCAATCGGTAAATATGTAACGTCGAACTCGGATAGAGGATCCCAAATTTTCGGAGGGGTTCGAGACCCATGTGAGGGACCCCCTCCAAAATGGGCTGGAACCAGCTCGGGGTCACAAGCCTGAGGTCCCGAAACGCTACCAAATCTTAACATGGACAGATGGCAAAGATGAGTTTGGTGGTATGTAAAAATGTAAACGGATTTTGGATGGATTCAAATGCGGCAAGAATGGGCCGCAACGACGACTAGCACCGTTCACTACACGTCATTGATGGCCAGCTCAAGGTCGCAAAGCGACCACACCAACGATTGAATCGAAGGCGGAAATCCAAGGCAGCTTAGACTCGTCCAACCTCGAGTGGGAGTGAAACTTCTAATTTCAAGATCCTCCGGACGACTTAAGTGGAACCAAAGGCTTCACCTGCTTCTTCTTTCTATTTGTTGGTACCCGCGCCTATGAGCTGGTGCGTTTTGGGCAAAAGTTCTTCGTGTAAGTCGCTACAACACAAAAACATCATTGACGCGTTTTCGGGTGCCGACTCATGGCCAGCGTGACCACGACGTGGATTGGGGTGGGAGATTTGGGCACGGGTTGCACCTTGCAATTTTGAGTATGGAACATGGACCAAGCTGATTCAGATGTGTGCAGATGGCAGGGTGTCATGTTGTTTCCCCGAAAACTATCGGTTTTACCCGGTTTTGTGCGACAGCTTCTCCTGGCGCTGTTCTTTTGCTGAGACAAACCGCAAAGTCTGTGCTCCTCATTTCGGCGTTCCCTTTTAAACCACCATGGCAGCTTCAAGACATGTTCAGGGCCCTTTTTCCGGTTTCCGGGGGGGTTTCTCGCGCTTCTCACCCATAAGGCGCGAATCCGCAAGCCGACTCGCGACTCGCAATCGGCCAAAGGAGCCCAGCCGAGGTCGGCCGGAGGGCCAGCTTTCATCTGTGACGCTCTTTCGTTGACAGCTGGCTGTGGGTCTTTTCAGCATAAACCCAAAATGGAAACAGCCTGGTCCTGGTAAATGGAAACATGGACTACCTGCGCGACCCATACCCAGCTGTCTTTGATTCTGAAGGGTGTCAGTCGGTGTCCAATTGCAGGGGGTCCCTTTGCCTCGGGCGAAACAACATGCTCACAAGTTGCTAGAAGCTTTTTGTGCCAAAAGAACTCAGGGACTCGGCCAAACCTGCGGCCAAAAGAAACTGCCCACCCGCAAGCCCCTACCCAAGGGATGTGTTGTGTTGCTTTGATGTACTGGTTCTGTTGCGTTTGTCTACCGCAGTTGTCATTAAGGTTTGCTGGTTTCGGGGTAGTAGAAACCATCTTAAAACCATCATGTAATTCGATGCATGAATGAATGAATACACAAACACAACATGAAAGTAGTGACAATAAAAGCATATTCAACTAGACATGTAATCATGAAATGTATGCTTGCCTATGTGCAATGTCAGCTGCTCGTGGTGGATCGAGGTCGCGATCTGCGAATCTGTGAGCCAGAGATCAAAACCAAAGTGTGCGATCTGCGACTCATCGTTTTCAGGGATCCACTGCCAAAAGAAGACACCATCCAACCCTGTTAGCCCGGCATCTAGCCCTAGCCGGCTTCTATTTGTGGGAACGCCCCCCTTTGAAAGGCTCGATTTCAATGAAGTATGACAGTCGACTTGGCTGGTGAGCCGTGGCCCTTTCTCGTATAAGCCAAAGAGGAAAAAGGTTCGCTTGGAATCTTCGACCCTTCGGAAGCTCCATCTTCACCCCGAAAGAAAGAAACCAGTCTGGGTCTTTGCCTGAGCCTTTGCTGAAACAAGACCCAGACTGGTTTCCCTTTACAGTAAATGGGGAAGAGGGGGTTGGTTCTTGAACAATTTGACAGCCAAACCCAACCCTGGTGCGCCTTTCTCACGTCTGGTTTGCTTGCTTCTTTTGGTGAAACTTTCGGACAAAACCGGATTCCCTGGGAATCCGCGGTTGGCAACATCCCCACGTTGCCGGAGACGGTTTGCGCCTGCCGAGATGCCCGACCTGAAGCCAAACGCCAAAAGTGCCCATATGTAGATGTGTCTATGTTACATGTGAATCTGCTTGGACAAATATGTATCCCCAGGCAAGCCACGGAAACAGTAAGTAGGGGACAAAGGGGACCGATCTGATAGGGTCGGTTGCGGTCAGGACATCTCAGGGGAAAAAGGGGGCACTCACCCGTGCCGGGGCGTCCTCTGAAATAAGCAGCTGCTAGGCTTTGCAGCGCTCAGAGTTGCATGGCCTCAGCATGACTGCTACATCAATTTCCCTTGGTATCACAGAAAAATCCTCCAAAGGCCAAGGATTCGGCCTGAAAATGGCGTCTAATAGTCGCTATTTGTCTGGGCAAATGAACGAGTGAAGGATCTTCATTTCGCTATCATTTGCCCAGATGCAGTGCTTTCTTAGGTTTTTTGGGGGAAGGGAAAAACTGAAGGGATCTTCTTGGGCCGCCTTTGCCTCTGGCGCTTGGAAATCCCAACTTTCCCCGTTCGCCCCGTTCAAAGGAAAATCAAATAGAGCCCCTCTTTGTTGGACCCTTTTTGCGCCAGCGACCGCAGTGAATCTTGGGAGACAGGGAGGAATGAGTTTCAGGCGCTCAGGATGACATTCACCGAACGGGCGAATTGGGGGCCTGGTTAACTTCTTTGAAGCTTTCAAAGCTTTCGTGAGGGTTCAGGGTCTTTGTTAAACCCGAAACCTGAAATCCGTCTGGAACTATCCTCACATTCGGGGAAAAACATGTGCCATGGGTCAAAGCTCCCTTTGTTTGCGAAAAATGGCATGTTTCCCTAACAGGAACTATGCTTCTTAATCCTTACTAACTTACCAGGCCGACCATCCGTGACCAAGCAAAGGAACCGCTCTTTTCCCCCCGAAAGGTTCGAAGGGCTCTGAAAACCAGGTGGGAAAACCCGAGCTTGTGTCTCCATGGCCAAGGGTAGCTTTCCATATCCCAACAAAACAAAGCCGCGTCCACGTGAGTTGTGTTTGAGCATACCTTTTGGGGGCTGGCGCCCAGCAAATCTGGAAACAAAGGGCCTGGGCGGGGCGGAGGGGAGGGGGAAGGTTCTCATGCTACACATCATGTTGGCGCAATCCGGAACCTGGATAGAACCCGCTAAACCCGTCCGGCGCAGAAACACAACTCCTCAAGAGTCCTCCCTCAAGGGCTGATTTGTTTATCCCTTGTGAACAAAAATGGAAAGCAACACAAACAAACAAACAAACAAACAAACAAACAAACAAACAAACAATAACAGAGAGTTTTCTGTATCCACCCAAGACAACACACGCAACTTCTGGCCTCCCCGCAATGAGTACGCATACACGTTTAAGTGTGTGTGTATGTATATATATATATATGTGCATGACGGTTGTCTGAAATTCCTTGTTCTGAAAACCGCCATCTTCGCGAGAAAGAAACTAACTTTCGCGGACCCCATCCCCGAACTTTCGCGGGGCTGTTTAGGAACATTCATCACAAAAGTAGTACACGAAGTACACTTTCGCAGCCCCAGCTCGAAAGTCGCAGCTTTTCAATACGAAGTAGTACGAAAAGTAAACTTCCGCAGACTCGCCTCGAAAGTCAACCTTTTCAGTACGAAAGCAGTACACAAAGTAAACTTCCGCAGCCCCAGCTTGAAAGTCCCAACTTGTCGATATGAAAGTAGCACGCGAAGTAAACTTCCGCAGTTCCAGCTCGAAAGTCGCAACCTTTCAGCTCCATAGCACGCGAAGCGTGCTTCCGCAGCTCCAGCTCATAAGCCGTGAGGCAGCAAACGAGAGGACCCGTTGGCCTCATGTTTGGAAACTGGCGGGAGGTCCGTCAACTGTCGTGGATCTTACGCCAAACATTCGCGAAAATCTGGCTGGAAAGTTGCACTCAAATTGACCCGAAAGCTTCACAACTCCCACAAGCTGGTTTCTGCTGGCTGGCGTTCTGTGCGCATTCTGCGCGCACTGCCGGCTAATATGCGTAGTTCATCATTCCAGCTTCCTGTTAGCTAGCCACCCTTACACGAAACTTTCGCGAACAATAAGCTAACTTTCGCGACCCCCTTCGCGGAACTTTCGCGGAGGTCAACGCTAAGACCAAAACGTCTTCCCCTTCATGGCTCAGTGCAAGGACCTTTCGGCAACTCTCAGATGCGTGAGTGTGTCCTGAGCATCCAACCTCACTCGTCCTCCTCCTCCTCCTCTTCCTCTTCCTCTTCCTCTTCCTCATCAGGCTTTGGCAGCTTTGCGGATCCCTATGGAGATCCACGGCAATCTGGATGAAGCCCGAGTTGAATACTGGTTGACCCACCACTTCTTTGATTCTCAGTACTGTGGAGAAAAGTCCACGCCCGGCACCAGTTCGCTTCTGGTTTGTTCCCTTCACAGATTCTCCATCCCAACTTCTGCAGGATTCCACAACATCTCCCCGGGAACACGCATGAACTCTTTTCTCATTCTCCCTGCTTTGTTGGGACCCTCCCCCAAAAACCACCCGTGCTAGTGGTATCCCCAGATTCGACTGAAACGCGAGCCAAACTGTTCCCCAACTTCAACCCCTGCAAACTGGCTGATCTGAAGGAATTCCTTGCGCCCCTTGGACTTGCCGGTTCTCAACTGGTACAAAAATAGGCCATTGACTTTTTGCGTATGTCACCACTCCGTCTTTACACCTTATCATGGGGGCTGGGGGGGAGGGGGGGGGAGGGGGAGGGAGCCCAAATAGCCCTAAGGGCTTAATAAGGGCTTATTTAGGGCTTATTTGGGCTCCCTCCCCCCTCCCCTCCCTCCCCCCCAGCCCCCATGACCTTAGAATGACGGTTGTCTTTGTGCTTTGCTTGTTATCATTTTTTGCTATAGCTTGGTCAACAGGAAGAATAGCACATGCTGCAGTGGATCTGGCATTACACGGTACATACTATGTTGCAGAACATGTTCATTGTGCTCTTTCTTGACGAGCTAGATTTGCTATCTTACCTGGAATACTCTTCGATGGAGAAAGATTGTTGGTACAAAGAAGTCATTACGTTCATCATCATGTACACTCTCTCTTTATAATACTATTCGTATCTTTTTTCCATTGCATATAGGAGAATTTATTTCATGTTATGCCACGAAGAATCCCATCCTTTCCGGGATGGTTTCTGATTCGAACCATTCCTGGAATTACCTCTTATCTATTGGATCAGGAATGACTATCCTAGCTTGCTCATCTCTGATTCATCTCTTTCTCATTGTATTCTCTGTTGTATTTTATCCCATTGTTCTCTGTATTTGATTTTATGAGAGACTCACCAACCAAGAGGTTTCTACCGGAACAAACCCTCGATTGTATACTGCATCGTGAGTCTAATTTATCCCTTTCGCTCGTCTCTTCATCTCTTTGCCCTTCCTGGCGGTAGAATCTAGAATTGATGATGAGCAGATTCCCATTCCAAGATGCGACTGGTCAAGATGGAATGGATCGCAAGGGAGGCATGGTGCCATTTAAGGTTCCCCTGCTCACCATGTCCTTGTCATCGAGGGTCTCAGCTCTAGACATATCCATCTCTCAGCTAATTGATCACATGGCGACATTTCCTGACATGCTTTGCTCTGTGCAGTATCAATTACGCCCGTTCTCACACATTTGTCTAACACTGGCAGCAACACGGGTCACATCACCGCTCCTCGTTCGGCTCCTCGTTGGGATCCACATGATGCTCCTCCTCAACAATCTCCGCCCATCTTTTGCTTCGGTCCGTCAGATCCTAAGCGGACAACCGGCAAGCAGAGAAGGGCCTCAACAATCTTGGTTGACGTTGGAAGGGGAGCAAAAAGTTCTTTGTTAGCAGCTAAGTGGGGATTTCCCACTAAACCAGCTCCGGGAGCGAATCACGTGCGCACGCGTCCGATGCGGTTGGGCTTTCGAAGATCCGTTTTTTTGAGGAGAAGGCTGGCCCTACCGATCCCAAAAGGAGGCCATGTCCGTGGGGTGAGTGGCTCTCTTCAGAGGAAGAAACAGCTCTAACAGGTGATATACAGATACTCACGAACCATGCCCACCTTCTTTGTGTGGCAAGACCAAGCACGGCTGTTTCTCAACATTGCGCCCCAGAATGTGTCTTGTCCTTTTGGTTTCCCCTTAAGACCATCAAACTAGGGACACCCCTATCTTGACAAACAACCCTGTCGGATGGCAAATAGAGTTAGATTCTCCCTTGAGAGTTGCATCCCTTGGCTGCCGAGACACAAAATCCAAAGGCTTGACCGGTCGCGGGAAGAGTTCCTCTTCGTCCTCAGGGGCGGATTTGTTGGTTTCCTGCCTGTGTCCAGTTGGTCTCCTTTTGGTAGTGTCATTTGGTTTACCTTTTGGGCTCCTAAAGGTTTCTTGATCAATCTTGGGGTATTCTTTTGGTTTCCTGTTGTTTTCATGTTGCTTTCGGTGCGGTTTCCTTTTGGTACTATAATGTGGTTTATCCGTTGCTTTCCTTTTGTGTTTCTTCCATTGACCCAGCGGTTCTTGAGAATTCTTGGGGGTTGCTTAGGGGTCCTTTTGGCTTCTGTGTTGGTTTCCCTTAAAGACCATCAAAAAGGCCCAAGTCACTTTATGATTGAACCAAGTTCCAACAAGATGATGCGCACAAAGTGAAGATCGTAAGGACGCATTAGGCTTTGAGGGTCTAGCCACGCAAAGTGCGCAAAAGGCTCGCTTTATCTTTTGTTAAGGTTGCGAAACAGCGCACGCGGCGTGCGGCAGAGCCAAATTCAGGCAGAGCGAGATGGCTCTGGGTCAAAACCCCGTACCCCCAGTGGACATCCCAATCCCGACCAGAATAGACAAATGTGGGTGGTGCACCTACCCCAGAAATGGTAACATTGGTTTTGACCCACAGCCATATGTGTTCTGCTTATGTCTATTCCCCGGTTCTCGCGATGTTCAGCTTTTTCAGGTGCGGTGCATCTAAAGATCGCGCGTGGAGGCAGGGCAGGAAGTTTCTTCCTTGATAACCTACTCACCTACATAGTTTGAACATCCAAGCAAAGGCAGCCCTAAGGAACCCCGCCCCCCCCCCCCCCAAAGGCCGCCTTTTCCGTATCGGCCACCTCAAAGAGATACTCCGATTCGCCAATCTGCAAAGAATCCCTAAAATGCGCCTTCATGAGGCCCTGCCATGTTTCCCCTGGCCCATCCGGAAGGCTTGGCAAATTTGGCAACTCCCTTGGCCTTGCCTCCCCTTCAAGTTGATTCATCTTTGTTAACTGGCCACACTTGGCAACTTGTTGGGCAACACCTTGCTTTAACAAAGGCTCTCCCCTCTTTTTCCTCCCTCTCCCGCTATTCCTCCACCTTTTGTGTTTTTCGTGGTGTTTCCGCGGTTTCCCTGCTTCGCCCTCTCTCCCCCCCCTCCATTTCTAACCCAAACCAACCAATCAAAAGGAAACCTATGCTCTGGTTGCCTGGTTGCCTGGTTGCCTGGAAGGTTCCTGGTGGCCTGGAAGGTTCCTGGTGGCCTGGTGGCCTGGAAGGTTCCTGGTGGCCTGGTGGCCTGGAAGGTTCCTGGTGGCCTGGTGGCCTGGAAGGCTCCTGGTGGCCTGGTGGCCTGCTTGGTTGGTCGCTTGCGTTGCCTGGGTGTTTCCCCAGCAATCCTTCACAAAGAAGACCAAGATCTGCCGCGACAGCCGACAGCACCCTGAGCACTTCCCAGCCAGTCCCCTGGGCTCCCGGCCTGGTCCCTCTCCCTCTCCCTGGACGGCAAAGATGAGGCCCGGTGCGACGCCCCAGGCGCGCGCTCGCGGAGCGTGCGCTCCGTACCCCGGCGCGAGAGCCAGTTCTCCAGCGTGGGGGAGGCGGAGCGCTGCCGCGAGGGCTGCATCCTAGCGAACCATCACTGGATGTCCCAAGTTGATCAATTTCATCGTGGTTTCCACTGGTGATGATGGAGTTAATTCCAACTTTGGGTTTAAAAAAAAAGGTGGAACCTCCCACTGCAACTTTTGGAGGCGAAAAAGGAAATGGAGGGACTCCTGGTGTCATTGAGGGCCAAACGAACGAGGGGAGTTTGGTGGTATTGGGAGGCTGTTGGGGGAATCCGACGGAATCCTATTTGGCTGCTATAGGATCACTCAGTGCGCTGGTCGGGACTCTCACAAAGCAAACCACACGGCTTAGATGGTCTGGGAGTTGGCTAAGTGGTCAGCTTTGCCCTGGATAAAACCCACGGACAGGGCACATACAACCATCGCTTTGGTGGGCGAAAACCACGGTTTCTGACCACTTCGCCGCTCTGGAAGGGGTGGAGGTTGTTGTTTTTTTCCTTTGGGGGGGGGGGGGGGTTAGGGTGGGCGGGGGATCGATCCTTCCGGCCGTCCGTTCCATGTTGAAACCGGAGTTCAAACTTGAACCCGCTAACCACAGCCCAGTCAAACAACCTTCTTGTGGTTCTCTCAGGGGTTGTTGAGGTCTGATCCCACAAAGGCCCCTCGAAGCCCCCCCGCCCTCCCTGAAAAAAGCCGGGAGAAGGATGGAAAAGGGGCAAAAGGGGCAGAAAAAAAATAGACGGAACAAAGATACGAGCCTTCACTGAAAGATGAGGGTTGCCCCCAAATCCCAAAGACAGATCCTCAAGCGTTAGGGGAGCCCTATTCGGCCGCAAGTTTGGTTGCACGTTTGGCCCTATTTGGAGGGGAAGAGGGAAACACAAGGAGGAAAAAGAGGGAGAAAGAGGGAGCAAATTCTTCATTAACAAGAGCCGGGTTGCCAAATAGGTTGCCAATAGGCGCTTGGGTGGATCTTTGAAGGGGGGTGGTTCGGAAAAAAGGGGCGGAAAACGGGGAGACAAATGCCCCAGTTGAGACACCGGCAAGTCCGGCCGTAAGCCTGGCCAGTCCCCCCCCCCTGTATCTGATCCCGGAATATCTAGAGGAGGAACAACAGAGGGGGGCTTCCAAAACCCAAGGATCACCTGCTTTAAAATACATATTAATGTTCATATGGCCATGGCTCAAAATCCCGTACCCCCAGTGAACATTCCAATTCCCCACTAAAATAGGTTCTAAAATGGGTAGTGAATTCACCTACCCCAAAGTGGTACCATTGGTTTTAAGCCACTCCCACAACTTGTTGGCTTGGTTGGGTGGGGGGACTGCAAGAAAATGTTTGCCCTTGTCCAAGCCAAAGGGCCCTTTGGCAGGGATCCTTACATTATACACCTGAGCATTGCCTTGTAAATGGTGGTTTCCCTTTGTTTTGGTGTTGAAAAAGCAACATGTTTCAAATGGGCAAACTGTATCTTTGAAGGAGCCCTGTTTAGGTGCCAATTTTTCCGCCAAAGTTTTCCGCCCAGCAGTGGCCGCACGAAGCCCAAGGCGCCTGGGGGGATTCATCTGGGCCATCACCGCTCGCCAGGCGGCCGTGCGCGGCGAGTCCCCGTCCCGGAAGGCGGTCTGCGGCCTGAGAAAAGCCCATGGATCCGGGACTGCCCTGAACCGGAAGCTGCGCTCGGAAACTTTGTTTTTGTGCATTTGTTTTGCCATTCAAAAGGGGATCCATAGAAAAAGTGTGTCTGCACCCTCTTTTCCAGAGGGCACCTTGTTTTCTTTTAAGGAAGCCAAGTGAGAAAAAAGAAAGCAGGGGGAATCCCTATGCAGAGAGACAAACCCCCGTGTCAACCCCCGTCGCAAAGATCATCCAAAGTTTGCTCAGTGGGCCACCGGGCCAAGAGTTTTTTGGGGATTCGATTGACGGTGAGTCATGGTCTCCGAGTTGCCCTCTACAAGAACCATCAAAGCAAGGGTCGCCCCGGGGGGGGAAAAAAGTGGAACCCAACTATTTCCAATCAAACTAACTGAAAGGACACCTATGAATACCTAAATCTTTGGATTGATTTTGCCAGAACCTTCACCCCCAAAGCCCAGAAGGCCCCTTCGCCTTTCTCGAATTTCCCGGAATCAAGAAAGCCCGTTCCCCTCGCTTTCTCAGAGTGGAGTAGAAACCACACATACGCACCGCGAAGTACAGGGCTGAATACGGACGAGCGGATTGCATTTCAGGGAGACCCTGTGAGCCAGAACTGGATAGGAGTCAACGTAAGACGGGAACTGCGTCATCTTCTCCGGTTGACGTCAACACATGATAACCATCATCAAATGAATTAGTCATCTTCTTTGGCACCAGCACGAGATGATAACCAGACAAAAAGAAACAAATATAATGTTCATCATAGGTTTTGGCAAGTATCCATGTTGATGGTGGTTTGAGCTAAATGAGAAGCGACAAGGACTTCCTGCCATCACCTTTTGGCGTTGCGGTGGATAGGCGTCAACATAACTTGTCCCACATCTGGGGTACACCGAACATGATTTGTCTGATTCTGTTTCATGCATCGTCTACCCTATGACATGTTTTTGGAGGAGACCCAACATAAGACGATACCCTGTGTCCACGACTGGAACTCATCAGAGCATCCTGTTGGAGGAACATAGTCTTCCAGGACGATCTTCTTCCAATCCTTCCCCTTCCCTTTCCTCCATCCGGTTCCGTTTGAAGGGAAACCAAAAAAGGACAATCACATTTTGGCTGTTTCTGCTTGAACTACCCCAAGGAAATAACCAAAGGCCCCCCGCCCCCAACAACCGAGGACTGGCTCTTAAGCCTTCTGATCGAATGATCGAAGTCTTTGATCGAAGGGTTCTGAAGGCTGGGTAAAAAGCCATGTCTTAAGTGGGGTGGTCATCGAAGTGGGCGCCCTTTAAATCATGGAAAGTGGACGGGAAGGTTGACAAAAGACAACTAGTCTTGCGACAAGCTCCTGTCAGTTTTCATGATGGATGAGTCTCAAAGTCAGAATCCAGGGTGACTCCTGCATCATGGGGGTGGACCAAGGTGGGGTTTGGGTCAGGGGTTTCGGCAAGCGAGGCCGTGTCCCATTGTATAGACAGGTGTGATGTTCTAATGGGGGCATTGGGCCGGTCTTTGGATTTGGTGGTCTAAGCAAACCGCAAAAGAAGATGGGCAGGTTGCCGCAATTGTTTCAGGCCTCCGTACTTGACTCCCGGACTCGCGCCCTTCAGATAGCTGAGAGAAAATGCCAGACTTTACCTCCCCTTTTTGCCCTTTTGGGCTTCGTGATGTGTTTCCCTCCCCAACCTTTGCAGGGAGTCCAATTCTTGGTGAAACTTCATGTCTGTAACTCCCCAACACATGGAAGACACTCACAAGGGATAGTCTGTCGCTTGGTCTCCTTATGGTTCTTTTCTTGAAAGAACCAGAAAAGATGACTTGGGCGCCCTCTACCTTTTGTTGGTGTTCCCTTCAATTTCCCTAGGATGAGGCACAGAGGTGATTAGAAATCGTTGACGCATGCATGAAATAGATGAGATGGATGGGAATGGATGGGAAGCGAAAGGCTTGGGAGAGAAGTGGCTTGGTCGGACACAGTTTGACTCCCGCAACTCACCATGTTCGGCAGGTAGTTGTTCGTTTTGGGCAGGGAGAAGGGGGAGAAGGCGACAAAAGGTCCCATGTCCCAAAGTTCTGTCCCAAGTTCCCAAGTGTCCGTTTGGGGCTTGGCACATACCTTTGTGGAGTTCACGTCCAGCAGTTAAGCATCACCATCCAATCATCCAATTCCATTCGCATTTAGAGACGTCGGGCAAGAAACCACGGATTCATCGCAGCGACAAAAGCTGGGAGGATTGGGAGAGAGACGTTCACCTAAAAAAACACACGGACACAGACACAGACACAGACACAGACACAGAGACACACGGACACATGGACACATGGACACACAGACACACAGACACACAGACACACAGAGACGCAGACACACAGAGACGCAGACACACAGAGACACAGTCACGTAGACACAAACACAAGGGTCTGAATTGTGTAAGGGACCCTTTGCTGGCCGTCATTGAGGCGGGGATTCATGTCCACTAGCCACTTGTGAAGTGGGTCGACTCTTAACACTCACACCCAGTTATTTTGCACCGACGAAACTTACCAACCAATCAGAAAAGTACCAACCAACCAGCCAAAAAGGCACCAAACAACCAAACAGGCGCCAAAAATACCAAAAAAATGGCACCGGTACCTGCCAACATTAATTATTTTAAAGTAACCAACCAAAAAGTACAAAAACGAAAGAAGAAAAAGACAAAAAGACGCACGACCATTTGTTGCGACACCCAAACAAATGTACCGACCAACCAAAAAAAACACCCACCAGCCAAGAAATGGCACCAACTAAGATATATATATATATATATATGCACACATACCAGCTACCAACCCAAAAAGTCGCCTATCCCCCCCCCCTCCTGCACCAAAAACAGCCAAACAAAAAAGCCTGTGCCTGCTGCTTGGCCACCAAAACGGCACCCACCCACACTCGACGCGAACTCGCCCAGCGGCAGCTTGGGCCGCTCCGCCGAGCGGGCGCGGAAGGCCGCCCCCGTGCCGGGGCCGGCGCCGGGCGCGCCGGGCGCGCCGGGCGCGGGGCCCGGCGGGGGCTCCCGGCCGAAGCGCCGCGCCAGCCAGTCCTGCGGAGTCCGGCTGAGTTTGGATTAGCCTTGGAGTGCTAAGCGGAGCTTCCACTGAACCTCCTCTCACCCAGCCGCCCACTTCACTCACCTACACCCCAACCTAAGAGTAGAATTCGGATCCATTCCTGGCCGTGGTGCCTTTAACCAAACAGGTTCCGCTCACAAGTAGAGCCGGTTCTTTGAAACGCCAGAAAGCATAAAGCATCCAAACGGATTCCCTCCTCCCAAATCTTGAGGACACTCCCGTATTCCCAACCTCCAGCCACCAAACCTCGGAACCTAACCGATAAGGGAGCCCATGTCTGGCCGCGAGTTTGGCCTTTCCCGCAACTTTCCCATGTTAATTGGTGGGAGGGTACCAGGAGTCATACTTGCCAGATACAGCCCGCGAAGCTTTTTGGGGATACGACCTACCGGACTTCCATATCCAGAAGTTCAAGAGTCAGAAGCCATCCCAGACTGACAACTTCCTGGGCCACTGGTTTCACCTGAACCTTCCAGGACCGCGGTCAATTTTGTGGACCAATTCCTTCCAGCCTTCCGATTCAAGAAACCTAACCACGAAGACCCCTTCCAGAAAAGCCCTTGCAAACCAAACCAGCAAACCAGGTTTCCTCCGAACGTCAAATCACCACATTATGCTGAATCATATGCCTTCAAGGACCACTTCAAGCATGGGTTTCAATCAATCAGCCCAAGGAATAGTGTTCTAGCTGGGCAGATTGTAACCTCTAATTAGGTGTTCGGGGCGGTCTTTCAGCCGCCAATTCATCAAGATCTGCAGTCCAAGTACCCTGACCAACCGCCAAGTTTGAGGAGTCTCCCCAGCCCAAGGTCTGAGGGACGAGGAGTCTCCCCAGTGCCCGAACTCGGCCCGAGGCGCCGACTCGATTCGATTCGATTCCACTGGGCTGCCCGGCATCCAGCTCGGAGTCCTTGTCCTTGAGGTCCTAATCCGTCTCTCGCACCACGAAACAAGTTGGTTTTTCTCTTTGGCTTTCGTGAGACAGGGAAATGCTGGGTTGCTGTTGCCCCCCCCCTGCAAAAAGTGAATCACTTTTTGGGGGTTTAGTGGAACACCCAACTTGATTTCAACCTAAAAGTTAAAGTCTAAAGATCCAACCCAATAGCAGTCAAGAATGGATCTCTTGCAATCTTTGGACCTTGTGTCCAACAAAACCCAGCTGAGCTGAAGAAAAGGAAGGAAGGCCACTTTTTATGAGAGCGAGCAAGTGAACCACGAGAGCTGAAATCCAAAACTTCAGGTCTTCCTGCTGGCTTCCTGAAATGACCAAACTGCCATGAGTTGCATCAGTTGTCTTGTACCCAAACAGGAAAACTGGGGGCGGGGGGGAAACACCATTCAAGCGCGCTGTCCTTTGGGTTTGCCAAAAAAACACGTACAGTGATCAGGGGGATCCTTGCTTGACCTCTCACGGCAAATTTTATCCGGGAGTACATCAAGCTGTGTGTTTCCTTCCAACACAGCCCTAAGGAGCAGCCCTCAAGGAAACTCCCTGGATCCGCACGAGTTTCAATTCGTCACCATCATGTAGTGAGGAATCCCCAAAAAAACCTTCGTGACGGGGCAAATCGCAGGTTTTTACCCCTACCAATTGATGCAAAGATTCTGCCTACGTCACCAAACAAGTTCGTCTCCCTTTCACCAGGCCTACCCCAACCTGTCGCCAAAAAAAAACATACACCAACCCGATGCAGAAACCAGAGGCTCACCGGGGTGGCCGAAAAACCCTGCGGATCTCCAATGAGCTGAAAAAACCTGAAGGAATCTTAGAGTAAACCACGGGTTTGACCACGTTAGACCAAGTATTCGGTGTTCTTCGCCCTATGGATTTTCATGTGTGGACCACCTTGAACTTGAAACAGGATTTTTCTTCTTCCCCAAGCTGACCTCAAGACCGTAAGGGGATCCCTTCTTCGAGTCTCCGCTAAACCTTCGGAAACCCTTCGGAAACCTTTTGGAGGTCGTTTTGGTCACAACCTTTGCATTTCCATTTGTGAACCAAACTTCAGGAAGCCTGCATGGGTCTGTCACTTTTTGAGGCAACCCATGGTTGAAGTGACCCCTGCTTAAGATAAACCTGTTGGGTGCGGGGGAAAGGGTGTTGGGGTGGTTGAGGTAGGTGTTTGTTCTTTTTGGTTTGGGAGACCAACAGAAGATTTGGGCGTGCCCCAAGAATGGCTTCACAAGGCAACCCCCAGCCCTCGTTCCCCGTTCAAAAAATCCTCCGTGAAGAGCCCGGCGTTGCGGCACGCCCAGCCCGCCGCGGCCGCCATCTCCGCACGCTGGCGGCTGGCCTTAGAGCCGAGGCAGTCCCTTTTGTTGTTCAAAGGGTCGGGTTTCCTTCCCATGCGGGCTCCAGCTTCCCATGAACCAGAAGCCCTTTTCTCACAGGAGAACAGCTACATTAGGGTGCTCTGGGGCCATCTCCTGTAGATGTTCCTGTAAGTTAACCCTTTTACATCCACAACAGGACAGGAAAGACGCCCTACAACTAATCCACAAAAACATTCCTCAACCCCAAAGATACCCACAAACAAAGTGATCCTCAAGACATGTCAGGAAAATCCAAAGACATCCCCACAAGCGCCCCCTAGACTAACGCCCGCGTCATCCCAAAGACATCTCCGAAGACGTACCCAAGACGTTCCTTAAAACACTGCAAAAGGCATCCCCAAAGATACGTTCAAAGACATGTTTCCAAGACACATCTCCAACGACATCCCCAAAAGCCACCCTGAAAGACACACCACACGACATCCTGCAAAACCAGAGAAATTCTCAACCGACATTTTTCAAAACAACCCCCCCCCCCCCTCCAAGAAACCAACGACATCCCCACTGACAATTCCCCAAGACATCAAAGACATCCAAAGACATCCCGGTGACATCCTCGAATACATCACCCAAGACAACCGCAAACCCTCAAAGACGTCCCCCAAGACACCTTCCAAAGACATCCCCAAAGATACCCCCAAACACATCCTCCTAATGCCGTCACCCGCAGACCCCTTCCAAAGACATCCTGCAAGTCATCCCCAAAGACGCCGCGCAAGACAACCGCGAAAACATGTCCAAAGACACCACCTCAAGGAAAACATAGCACAGACATCCATGAAGCTAGCCCGAAAGACAATGCCCAAGGCACATTCGTCACGTTGGTTGAATCATAGCCGTTGACGGGGTTCAAACTGTTTCAACCACCCTGAATCAAACCAGACCCGTTTCGCTCTTCAGCTTAAATCCCGCAGAGGCTTGCTGACCCCCATCCCTTGGGGTCGTTGGGGGGTTCACAATGTTCATCCCAAACATTCTTTAAACATCCATCTCGGACCAACCATAAAACCATACCCCTGTGTTTTTCAACAACACCCTGGACTGACAGATCCGATAGTCCAAAAGCCCAAGGCGCATCGGCCTCGTTGGCTGCAACGGTTGAAAGTTGAAACCATAACCCCACTTGGTCGAAGCCATCGCTCGCGGTCAAACTTTTGCAACCAATTTCGGTGCAAACCAAGCCGGTAAGCCTTAGCGTTACCTAACCCCTGGCAAACTGGTTACAAACCACGGTGACCAAAGCCGTAGTAAGTCCCCTTTCCGTAGGGCAAGGATGTTGAATCCACCCAGCTCTTTGGGGCAGGGGCCATCGCCATGCCTTGGGGTTACGAACCCAGCAACTTGGGGTCTTTGGGCGGAGCCGCCCAGAAAAATCACGTGGGGGTCCCCAGGCTTCTGAACCGTACCTCTAGGTGTCCAACCAGCCACATTCTTCAAATCTTAAGCTCGTACCCCGACTGGTTTTTCAAGCACCCCTGGTGTCTGGTGCAGACAAACCTGATCAAAACCCGATCTGAAAAGCGTTGCCAGCGTCTAAAGGAGGCCCACCTTTGTTCAACCCAACACATATTGTTTATCAATCTCAAACCATGTGTTTATGCCCCCCATCCGACACAAGAAAGAGGAAGGCACCCTCCAACAATAGACAGAACCTTCCCCCCACACACAAAAAACAACAGAAACTGCAAAGGAGACAGACAGAAGCACCCCAACCAAAAATAAAAAAGAACCCCCCCCAAAAAAAAAAAAAAAACGGCCCCCCTGCACCAAAAGAAGAACACAAAAAACAAAACATGAGAACCAGAGAGAAAATCAAAAAACAGACCCCCCCCCCTTCCCCCCCGCCCCTTCCTTCCGCCCCCTTCTCCGCGTCCAACCGTCGCAACCGTCGCAACCGTCGCATCAGGCGGGAAGCGTTGGCCACCATGTTGAAGACGGTGTGCCCGAAGGCCTGCGCCAGGCGCCGCCACATCACGGAGCCCGCGGCATGCAGCAGACCTCGCGGACTCGGTCGACGGGTCGGTCGACGGCTCGGTCGAGGGCTCGGTGGAGTTGTTGGAGTTTGGAGTCGACGGGCGGTGGCTGGAGGTTTTTGGCTTGGTTCGGTTTTTGTTGGCGGGTTGGAAATGTTGGGGAGATGTTGGGAAAATGCTGGGGGGATGGTGGGGGGGTGGTGTTCGGGGTATGGTGTGGGGGGGGGGGGGGGGTGTTCGGGGTACGGTGTGGGGGGGGTGTTCGGAGTGGTGTGGGGTGGGGGTTTGGTGGCTTCGGGGTTCAAGGTGGGTTTAGGGTGACTTCAAGGCGGGTTTAGTTTCGGGGCGGTTCAAGGTGGGGGTTTGGGGTGGGCTTTGGGTTGGTGGCCTTTGGGCCGCTTCAAAGTGGGTGATCTTTGAGGCATCGCACCTGCAAAAGGGCCAGTTTGAAGGGTTCTGGAGGCTGCCCATATTCTTCCTTCCGAAGAAACTCATCACACAGTGGCAACCAAAAGATGATAGATCGCCGGCTGAAGGGGGGAAGACATCCTTTTGGGGCATCTTTCGACAAAAATTTGGTACCAAAACTCGCTGGCCCTCGCAGTACTGACCAACATCCACTGGGGGAGTAAGCAAAAAATGGAGAGGTGATGTTGGGAGGGGAAAGGGAACCCTGAAATCCGCGATTTGGTTGCTAGCCTCACGTCAGCTAACCGGGGGGTAGTAACCTTGCTCCAAAGTGATGCAGGATCAAAAACAACCACTCGTTCTTTAGCAGTGAACAATGCCTCGCAATATATTCCGCTGATTCAAAGCCAACTCGACTCGCCTTCGATTCGGGAGCCTTGGCTGGTATTTCTGGCCCCTTACTTAGCCCCTGACAAAAAGAACTGGGGAGGGGGGGGTTAGGGTTTAGGGTTGAGGGCACCTTTTTGGGGTAAACCTGAACTTCTCTGAAGAGATCCATCCCCAAGCCCCGCCCTCTTTCGTCCCGGGGGCAAATGGACTGCGCCGCGTGGGACAAACTCTGCTGCGCCAGCGGCCGCTGGCCCCAGAGATCCGGGGAGCGCTCCATCCTGCACGCATGGCGCCAGCGCGCCAGCGCGCGAGCGCGCGAGGCGAGGCGCCGGATTTCCCCCACTTGTCCCTCGGGTTCCCCAAGCGATTGAACGCAGCTTCTTTTCCCCTGCTCTCAAGAAAAACGGTTTACCTGAACAGGGGTGTCCGCAACAAAACCTTACCTGGACCCAATGCACGCCACACTTGGTTCATATCTTGATTCCTTTTGTGTGGGACCAGAAAGTGGAAACAATGGTCCAAGAAGCACTTGGGTTCCAAAACAAAACCTCGCCTCTGAGGGCAGGAACACACGCACGCCCGCACCACAACCATTTTTCCAAAAGCCTGTGTTAAACAAAACCAACATTGAAATTGACATATAAGTTCAAGGGTTGTCCTATTCCATCCTGGGACTACGCCCTCTGGAAATCACCCTATTCTAGCCTATGTCCAAACACAATCTATACTAATCACCAACAAAGCACGGGTGAAATCGCAGGGTGTAGTAGGAAAATGCCTGGCATTCGGCGGGGGGGGGGGGGAGAGAGGGAGAGATGAGAAAACGATTTCATGTGTCCTTCCTCCCAGAAAAGGAGTCTGTGGGTACCTGGAAGATCATGTTCTCCTTAAAGGGAGTGAAGGGAGGCCCTCCCACAAACTCTAAGAAGCTTCAAAAAAACAAGTGATAAGAATGATGATGATGATGATGATGATGATGATGATGATGATGATGATGATGATGATGATGGTGATGATGATCATGATGATGATGATGATGATGATGATGTTGATGATAAGCCCAAGTATCCAGCATCCCATAGCCGGCCTCGGGCACACATTGGAACCAGCCAGCCCCAAACGCGGTGTTGGCGAATTCGCCTGTGCACAAGGGTAGACTATTGGTTGCTAGGGTTTCCCGACTTATCTACCCGTTCGTCTTAGTCATCTTTTAGCGCCCTGTTGGCGACCAAGAAATCTAGGTGAATTCAGGGATCTGCAAGTAATGGTACGTTATCATGGATCATGCCGGATCGGTCGGCGTAGCTTGCTCTGGATGAATCCACGCCAGGCATCAGCTGGTAGGTCATCCCACTATTCATAGGATTTCATCCATCCCAACTGGCGCAAAATGGATTTGTCCAGTGGTGCTCTCCTCTCTGGGGTTCCGAACATGCGGGGCTCAAAACAGCGCCCCCCCCTTGTTGGATGCTCTCAAAATAGTGAACCCCTTTTCGATGGAATTGTTAAAACGAAACCACCCTGGCCCCATGGCCCACCCATCCGGCCGTGTCTTGCCCAAGTTTCTCACCTCCAACCCCCTCCAAAGCCGAACCCTCACCCGTCAAACCGAAGTCCTCACGGCCGCATCCTTAAAGTCCGGGGGCGCCAGGCCGCACCAGTCCAGGATCTCGATGGGGCTCACCATGGCGCGCTTCTGCAAGGTCTCGTAGGCCCACTGCGCGTCGATCACCTCGGCTCCCGAAATTTCGGCTCCCGAAACGGCTTCGAAGGAGAGATGCGGAGCCGGCGCCGCTTTCTGGGAGTTGGTCCCCCTGAATTTGCGGCTCAAAAAGGAAACCCAAAGGAAAGCCGACGCCCCCTTCTTGAGGCCCAAAAAAGAACAGACACCATGCGGAGCAGAGGATGAGTCCTTGAAAGCATGAGAACCTCACTGTACCCAAGTCACCCAAGCAGTAGGTTGAATGGCAACCACAGTTTCTAAGTTTGACAAGTTTCAGGACTGGAAACGAACAGCCCAGTCAGAGGATGATCAGTCCAAGGAAACACTTGCTGGTGTTTGGTACCCGGAAAAAAAAAAAAAAAAAAAAAAAAGGAGAAAAAAAAGAAAAAAAAGAAAAACCTCTGAAATGGCTCTCAAAACGAGTCAGGAGTCTGTCAAGTTCACCAAAAGTTTGCGAGGCGAGTGCCCCGAGACGAAAGACCGGCCCAAAGACCCTTCCAACACTTTCAACCTGAAAAGGCCCTTCCAAATACGAAAAGACTAGCCCGGAAGCCTGTGACTTTTGGCCTAAAACGTCATTGAGTCACCGCCAAAGGCTCAAAGGCACCCCCCCCCCACCGGAAAAGGGCTTAAGTCAGTCTTTGGGGCCAAATGTCCAACACCAAGCAGTGGTCTCTCTCTCTCTCTCTCTCCGGCCTCCCCCTCTCTCTCTCTCTCTCTTTCTGTCTATCTATCTATCTATTTATCTATCTAGTTATATAATATGTAAGCGTGCTGTGTCTGTGTACATAGATACATACATATCCGTGTGTGTGTGTGTGTATGTTCATATCTCAAATGCTTGGCAAACTTTGCTGGCATGTTTTTACTGGGGCATATGTTTCTTGGCGAGGAGCCCAGTTCCGTCAAAATGATAAACGGCCCCCAACTTTTGAGGCCAGTGGGCCTATGAGACAGATAGATTGTTGCAGTCCATCCATGTTCGAGTGCTCGGAAAATCCGCAAGTCTGGGCGCAGGTTCGTTTTTTGGCGCCCGGTGAAGTTCATAATATCATGCTCCCCATATGACTGTCCAATTTGCTAACGGAGATGTGGGCCGAAGATTGAGATCCCCTGAGAAAACAATTGGCCGAGAACCCAACAACAGACTCCAACAACCAGATGTATGTCTGAGAAACTCCGACCAAACAACTACTTCCAACAAGCGACTCGAATATGACAAATGGAGCGAACCATGCCAACACAAACAAAGCAGCCACTCATTCGATGACCCAAAACAACTCCGCAAACTACTAACACGAAACTGCCAATTGCCGAACATTCAATAACCTCAGAACAGCCCCCCAGCACGTCAAAAACAAACAACTCCCAACAACACCCCACCCACCCCCCACCCACCCACCCACACCCACACCCACCGAAAAGAAGCCGGCGCTTTCTTTCTCATTTCGGGTCGCCCCGGTGAGGTTGATGCCGAACTTATGGGCCAGCACGGTGGCATGGGTGGAAGCGTCGGCGGTGATCTTGGAGGCGTTGGGGTTGGTGAAGAAGGGCGTCAAGGTGTACCTGGGCGCCCGCCCGTGACTCACTATCTCGCTGCGCAATGTTGTCAGCATCAGCCATGGCATGAGGGACTGAACCTGCAAGCGCGCGCGTTGCCCGAGTATGCTGCTTTACCGGCTCCAACACAGAAGCCATCTTTTCAAGCTAAGACGACTTTCCTCTGTCCCTTGTCCACTCCCGTGCTTGAAAGGCGAGAGCAGAACCTTGGGCGCAAACCCAATAACCCTGTAGGGTCAGCCAACCAACTGGTTAAACATAAAAGAACACTATGGTTGAAGCACCTGCTTTTGGCTTTGCTTTACATGGTGCACGGGGCTGGTTGTGTCCACATATTTTGCCCCACTCTTGCAACTGGGCTTGGCTCAGCGGGGCTCATTTAACTGGTCAGAGGGTCTGACGAAGGACGACCGCACTGATTTCACTACGTAGCTATCTATCTACCTATCTCTCCCATCTATCTGTCTACCTTTCTATCCACCTATCGTCTCACCGGAGCCTGATTTGCGTAACCTTGTAGCGCTGCGCCTGCGCAGCGAAACGGCACGCGGCCTCGCAAAAGCTACGATGTGGGCACAGGCGCAACGAAAACAACATGTTGGGTCAACGGGGGGCATTGCTGCGCTTCGAATGAGGATCATGCTGCCCTGGTGCTGCCAGCCCATGACTCGCGCGCGGGCCAGCTCGAAACGGGCCCGTTCGCCATCTAGCTTCCCCCACACAACGCATGGCAAGTTTGCTGCACAAACGCTGGCAAAACACAGGTGTTTTGCGCGTGAACAACTATGTTTTGCAGGTGCCACCAGCGATTCACCTTTGCGGGCCCAGGGTCGGGGGGGGGGAGGGGGAGCTGCTTTTGCGCTGGTCGCACGCTCAACATTGGCTGGTATCGCAGTGGTCGAGACCAACAGCACGGCCCTTACGCTACCAATGACCATGCCGAAAACCAGCGGTCTGGGTCGATTTCTCTTGGCAAGGCACAGCTGCTCGCCCAACTGCAACACGTCGAAGATGAAGACCTGTCTGTTTCAACCCTTCAACTCTGGCGCCGGCCAAAGCCTGCCCAGATCCAAAACAGATCAAACAAGCACAGTGGGACAGTCCGGCCACGGAAAGCTCGAATTCGCTTTGGCACCCAAAGAAACCGTTCGAGGGGTGGGAGTTTCGGAGTTTCGCTAAGCATCCCTTCGGATTGTGCATCGCTCACCGAACTCCAGAATCTCATAGCATGGAAGAAGGGCACTTTCAGGTTTGAGTTTGGAGTGTTGGTATGGCTTCTGCCAACACAATCTCGTAAGGCACATAAGTTTCTGCTATGTTTCACTTCCATACTTCCAGAACTCATGAATGATTATGCCCTTGATACCTGGCCCACTGGTGACTTAGATTTGTCAAATTAGATGTTTCCAGATATTTGGTGACAAATCCTAGTCACTCTTTGCCAGTTATTTGGAGTGAGTTGCTTTTGGTGCCCTGGCTTTGAGCCAGCCTGTGCCTTTTGAAAAGCTCCCCCGGCCTGCAGGCCGTTGCGGTCGCTGAAGGCAATGGTGAGCAAGCACAGCTTGCCCGCGGCCGCGCGCAGGTTCGAGCCGTGGCAGTCCTCCGGCGACTTTTTCTTTTGGAGCTGGTACCCTTTTTGGGGGTCATTTTAAGTGGAAACTAAAGGAAAAGCCACAGTTTGAAGGGTTCCCCCTTTTTGAAACAAACCCGAATGACGTGCATCAAAACCTTGCCTCGCTGGTGCGAGAGATGCAGGGACTGAGACATGGATTTAAACCATCCCACTGGTGGTTTCCTTTAAGGGAATCCCCGAGCGCTGGAACGGCCCAAATTTCCAGAGCGCATGTATGCAAACTCAACTTATGTGCTCCGCTGCATATCACATGGAACCCCAAAACTCGAAACTTGTTTGCCAAGAGGCGAGATGCGCGCTTCTTTGGGGGGATGCGTGCGGCACGATCAACTCAAAATGATGCAAAGAATCAACTGGGTGGATATCAGCGGCATTTCTTTGGCTGGGATTGTCTTTATCTACCCGCTTTCGATGCAGGTCATGTGGGTTTGTCTCAAAAAAAGGGAACATTTCAAATTGTGGCTTGTCTTTGGTTTCCCCTCAAAATGATTCCCAAAAAACGTTCCAACTCCCAAAAAGGACGAGCCTCCGGTGTTTCAATCTGAGGGGATACTTCTACTATCCTCTAGTCGGTGGTTTGGATTGGTGTTTGGAGGCGTTCCGGGGTTTCCCATACACCCAATTCAGAAGGAATCTCCAATTGAGAGATTCTTTAATCAGAACAAGGGATATTGATTACCTGGATCGCCTGAAGTAACGAACAAACGCATTAAGTTTCGCCTCCGCCTGATCGACTTGGAGCTAAATCTGCCATGACATATGCTACTACGCAAGCGAGTTCCCCTCCGTTGGCTGCAAGCATTCCGCAAGGGTTACCACAAGCAAACAAACAATCAAACAAACGACATGGGTTACCTGAACTCACAAGCAAACCAAGTAAGGGGTACAAAAAAAAGAAAAGAGGGCTACCTAACAAGTTGTTTCTCACGGAAACAAAAATACGGTTCGCAGTCCATCACGATGATGGCGCCCTGGCCCAGGTAGTTCAGCTGGCCTGCAGCCTGCTGCAGGTTCCTGATCCGATGTGGTTTCTCTTCGGCGATACCGACCCCAAGTTCATCGCAGAAGAAGACCCCTCAGTGGAACCCAGAATAAGCCTTTGGGCACCTAAGTTTGCGACCCAGAAGGAAACAGGCGATCGGAGCAAGCTATGAGGTTTTTGTTCGCGCACCCGCGATTGCTGCAGATTCCTTTGTGTTTCCCTTTGAAAACCAGAACAGTACAGAGTACCCCCGAAAACAAGACTTCGCAAATTTAGCCTTGGTTCTGAGGCTTAACCCTTAACCCCGGGAAGTGTTTTGGCCTATGGGGTCCTTGGATTGGTCGGCAAAGAAGGCTCACCTTTCTCGTTCCAACCAAAGCAAATCCGGCGCGTCCGCCAGCCTCCGCTCCCATTTGTGAACAAAAGCTAAGAAGCAGCACAGGCCCAACAGCTGAAAGGTCGGGCTTACCTTAGGCCCAGGTGATTTAAGACCAACCTGAAGAGTACTCTCAAAACAGCAACAGACCTACATTGCCCAAAGGTTGAATCTACCACTCGAATTCTCAACCAAGCCCTCTCGTCAACCACTGGCAAGCTACTTAAGTTGCTTCACCATCATAGCTAAACTGCCACCCTCAAACAATTGACAAATGGCATAGGTCGACATTTACCCAAGATAAAGAGAAAGGCAACTGTCATTTGAATCGGTCTCCAACATGTTTTCCCTGGTAAATGGAAAAACATGAACTCAACCCTTTCTGTCTGATTCCTGGCTTGGTTTTGACCCATGCATCCGTCTCCGTCTCCAAGCGTCCCTGCGTCCGCGATGAGGTACACAGAGGCGGAGTTCCCATCCGGGAGCGCCTGCTGCCACTGCATGGACTGCCCGGAGGGCATGGACGGCATGGAGAAGCCCTTGGAGCCCTTGCCCTCGCCCTTCCTCGGCCGCTGCGAAACACCAAGCCTCGCCATCCCTTCTTCTGCCGCTTCCCAACAAGAAGTGGTCCCCCTTGATCAGGGTGACCTAGCTTTTAGCACCCACGTAAAACTGAACTTGTCGGCTTCCCCGACTTTGATGTTCAAACTTAAGTAGAAGGGCGCAAACATCTTGGGGCTCAGGCACGGGTTCCTTCATCTTCTAGAGTTCAAGGCCCCAGCCAAGATTAAAACATGTAGGTGTCTGGCTCTTGCGGAGAATTGAGCGAGTCGCTGTCCCAAGCCTGACTGGTACTTTGTCCCACACCCCTGGGAATCAGCCCAAAACCACATGGGCAGCGAACCCAACTAAAAGTGCTTAAAAGTGCAGGACCAAACAAGAAAAAGAAATCAAAGGAAGAAGAAAAAAAAAGAGGGGGAAAAAAAGGAAGAAAAAAAAATGGAGGCGATCCTTGCTGCCCGAGCATCCCATTTCGCCTTCCAAAGACCTGCGGGGACGCGGAGCGCCGTTCCCGGGACCCCCGCCGCGCCGCGCTGCCCATCCGCTCCGGGGACCGGCGGTCCCGCGGGGCACCTTTCCCAAAGCGCCGTCCGGGTGAGGAGCCGCGGTTGGCGCCGTTGCCCTGGGCCTCACGCGATTTTGGGGAGGGGAGACAAGAAGAATGCGAGAAGGCGGGGCCAAGGGACGAACTTGGAAAGCCATTGGCGGAAAGAATGATGAAACCGAAAGGTGAGCGATTGAAGGGAAACCAACACGCCGGGGTGAAGCAACAATGCTTCACGGCCATGCTTAAACAGGTTGAATCAAACCCTGCCTGGGGCGCTTGGGGCCAAGGGCCTGCTGTCGGCAGGTTCTTCTCCTGCATCATCTCGGGCAACTTGGCAGAAATCTCGTTGAGGTTCACCTCGCCGCTCTGCAACTGCTCCGCATCCACGTAGGCCAAGGGCACAGCACCAGAGGACTGCATTTGCGCCCACTGGCTCATGGGGATGATGCATGGCACGTACGACACCTGGTCCTGACCTCCAGTTTGGTTACTCGGACCGAAGCCGCCTTGGCCGGGGTTAGGACGCCCACCAGGACGGGGCGCATAGCCCGGGCCGGGGCCGGGGCCAGAACGGCCTCGCATGAAAGGGCCTTCTGGGCCCTTTGGCCCCGGACCTGCTGGACCTGGGCCGGGGGTTGGACCTGGGCCTGGGCCTGGGCCTGGCCCCGGGCCAGCTCCCAAGCTGGGGCCCAAACTGGGTCGGCCGCCGCCGGGCCCGGAGAAGCCCACGTCCGGCCTCGGGCCCACCGGCCCGAAGTTCTGCCCTGGGGCCGGGCCACCACCGTTCATCACCACGAACATCATGGCGCCTACTCTTTGCTCATCAGCCCCCCCTCACAGCAACAGCTGCGCTCTCGAGCAGGGCACACACAAGGCTTAAGTTCCCAAAAAACCGAGACGTTCTCAAACACTCTACATGACTTATTTGATATCCACTGGAGGATAATCAAAACACACACCCGAAAGAATGGTACTCCACTCCTGGGGGAAGGGTATAATTGTTTGATAGCCCTAATATGACTGTAGCTAGGGTCATTCGAAAAATGAGAAGCGCATCGAAACCATGATGTGCCAAACGCGACGTAGAATAGTACCTCATTTAAAATTGGAAACAATTGTTTGAAAACAAGCATGTTTAGTGAATAGCAAGTCAAAAAGCTGCCCCAGAGTGTTCAATGCGCATGTGCAGGTTTCAAAAAATGGGTTGTGGGATGCGTTCAGTTTGTTTGTGCCTGCGCAGGTTCGGAGCTTTTGGGCGCACGGTTTGAACTCTTCTCATTGCGCCGCATGGTTGCCAAAAACTCAACTTTCAGCTAAACACGACAAAGCGGTCGGCATTTGTTGTATGTTATTTCTCGGAATTTCAGGAATTCAACAAGGAAAAGTGTTGGAGTTCCGGTCCAACTTTCACAAGTTACCCCAAATAAATAAATAAACAAATAAATAAATACAAAAAGGACGATTGATCTGAAAACATTTTCCCAAAGGCTCGACATCTGTCTTCAACTGTGCTGTGCGCGTTGTTGTGCGCAAGTCTCTCTACTGTTCAGCGCTTGTATCTGTGCACAAGATGCTCGGCCTGAGGCGCTCCGCGTACTACGTTTGTACTTAAAAGTACGATTTTCCAGCCAGAGCTGCGAAAGTACGATCCGCGTGCTACGTTTGTCCTTGAAAGCTGCGATTTTCTGATCGGAATACCGGGAGCACGCTCCGCGTACTACAGCTGTACTAGAAGCGCCGTGAATGGCTTTGGGAAGTTGTCTTGAGTACAGAAGAGCACGCGAAGTGCATTCCTGCAGCTGACGTCACTTTGAGTACAAATCTAGTACTCGCCCAGCTCCGGCTCGAGGACCGCAATTTTCCAAATCCACCAGTAGTACGCAAAGTCAGCGGCTGCAAACTTCACCTGGCAACTTTGCCGGCCAACGTTTAAAAAGATACTCCACCTGCCCACTTTTTGTGCCAACTTTTTGCAGATTACTTCACCGCCGATGTCAGAAAAAGTCGCAGTGCGCCACATCGAGAGAGCTTCGACACGCACGCAAAAAAACGTAAAAGTCGCAAATCACACCAACCCTAAACCAAGCTGCGCTGCAGGGCGCGCGCACCTTTTTGTCGGGTTGCTTTGAAAGTCGCACTTGCCCAGGGCACAGCGGTGCACCTGGGGATAGGGGCGAGGATATTCCCCGCCCCCCCCCCCCCCCCGTGAAACTAGACAACGAGACAGGCGTGTCCTCTTCAGAAACCAAAGTGCGTGGCAAAGGCACGACAAGCGTGTCCACGCCGGCTCATGGAACGTGCGAGTCGCATGGCCTTGTTGAAAACGGCAGGGGCAGCGTGCCCTAGCCATTAGCAGATTTACTCAGAGGCGTCTGAGAATCTGTCCGGAGCGCAGAAGCCTTGCCTAAGGCTTGAATAGGGTTGGGAGGGTGGGGTAAAAAAAACAAGGACTGCTAGTCTTTTTGTGTGAGGTTGAACGCTAGGAGCATAAAACGGCAGCGGCGCAATGAGATTCGCACTAGGCTTAAAAACACAAGGGAAAAAAGAACCCTAAGCGTCAAGGCCTAGCGCACTGCTCCTCGCAAATCACACAAACCCTAAACCAAGCTGCACTGCAAGGCGCGCACCTTTTGTCGGGCTGCTTTCAAAGTCGCACTTGCCCAGGGCACAGCGGTGCACCTAGGGATAGGGGCAAAGATATGACCCCTCCTTTAGTCCTTCCAAAGCAACCGGAAAAAGCGGAGTGAGGCCAAGGTGCTAAGACCCCCCCTTCAGTGCGGGGATGCACCTCAGCAAGAGAAGGCGTCTCAGTAACAACATAGCACGCGTCACCATGTTCAAAGGACTCAATTCTTGCACGGCGGGCAGTCATGAGCGCAACGAAGCGGCAGCGAGGTGTTCTGGCCGGCAAGGCGCGTCAACCGTGCCTGCGCCAGGCCCGAAAGGCTGAAACGCATGCGATCATTAGGGCGATGCTGAAATCTGGCACGTGGAGAAATAGACATCGAAGATCCCTTCTGACCGCCGCCACGCTTCTTCTCCAAACATGCCTGAAAATATTTAGAGCGCATATGGTAAGCCAGTGCGCAACGCAGGAAGGTAGTCAAGCGCTTGGATCTCAGACTCCCAAGTTGATGCACCAAGATCACCGGCTCGCTTTGCAAATTGAAAGCCGGAGTGTCACAATGTGCCAGAGCACCACCCACCCCCACACACACACACACACACACACACACACACACACACACACACACACACACACACACACACACACACACACACACACACACACACACACCACCCACCACACACACCACCACACACCCACCCACCACCCACCCACCACCCACCCACACCACCACCCCACCACCCGGCCAGGTATCGTGATGCGGTCTGCAGACCAGGAAACAGGGGAGTATAGGCCGCATTAACCAGCCACACAGAAGCGTACAGAAGCCATGAACTTTGTCACAGAAGCGATGAACTATGTTTGTCATAGAAGCCACGAACTTCCAGAAGCGAGAAACTTGCAGAAATGAGTTCTCTCGTGCCTTTTTCCCAGGCGACGGACTTTGGGGACGAGTTTGCTTCTGTGCGAGCACCCGGCTCTCGCAACTCCAGAACCGATGCTGCAATCCTGCAAACACATCCAAGAACCCTTGTGTGTGCGGAGCTGGGGTGGATGTGCTGCTTCCGGCTGGGCCGGCAAGGCTGGGCTGGCTGGCTTGTGGGCTTGTTTAAGGCAGAGCCTGCGCCTGCCAAGGGTCCGGGCCCATTTCACGTGAATTTGGTGCGGTCCATTGCCGGGCGCTTAGGCTGGCAAGCCATTTTTGCACGTGTCCGAAGCAAAGACTTGCAATTTCGCACCCCTTTTACACTTCCAAGATGCCGCTTGCCGCAGCGGTGCAGCGACTTGCCTTGCTTTCATGTCGGACCGGCATTGGTTTGGATGTTTCACACATCCCTGAGTGTCTAATGACAATGCTGAATGCTTCGGACATTTGCTTCCGGTGGCCGGCAGTTTTCGAGAGCGCATCTCTCTATAGGACCGGTACCCCTTCCATTTGATTCCTGCTGATGACCGCTAAAAGTTGGAACTTTCTTCACGCTTTGGCCGCGTCTTGAGCGGAGGTTGTCAAGGCAATCCGCTTTGCGCTTTTGAAAGGCCACATACCCGCCGCCAGTGTCAAAAGAGAGCGCACCTTTGCATTTTCCCTTTCCCAGTGTATCCCTTTTCCTTTCTTATTAACTGCTTTGTAATGAAATCCAAAATCCAGATCCATATTCCTCCCTTCGCCCAGCGAAATAAAATTATGAAGACTGACATGAAAGGAAGAAATGTAAAGAAGAAAGAGAAAAGAAAAAGATAGGAAAGAGAAGATGCCCTAGATTTCTTGCGAACACAGGCAATACAAGTTAATTCTCAGGGTTCTATCATTTACAGTCTATAATAATGGAAAAGATAAAGAACGAACATATGAAAAGAAAAACATTGTATAATAAAGAAAGTGACTGATAAGAAAGGAAAAGGTGCGACGCAAACGCACAGAAGGCAATTCACCCGGCTAATTGGTCTTGAATGCATCAACAAGGCTGGCGACGAAGCCCCTTCTGCGTGTCCCTGAGTGCCTCCTGCGTGCTGCTGCCCACTGGCTGCCACTGGCTGCCACTGCCGTGCCACTGCCGCCCCACTGCCGCCCCCTTTAAAAGAGAGAGCCATGAGAAATATCAACTACAAAACCCCCAACAAAAACAATTACAACATGAGACTGGGCCCACCACCTTTGGCGAAGGGGGGGCTTAAGCCCCCCCTTAAGCCCCCCCTTATGCCCCGTAAGGTCCCGCAAAGGCGCCAATAAGCCCCCCTTAAAAGTTAGAACAGGGCTTGCCCAGTGTAGCCCCCCCCCTACGCCAAAACACATTTTTTCAACCATTTTTTCACTATTCATTTTTTCACTATTCATTTTATCGTCCGTATTCATTATGCCTATTTCCACTCAAAACATTTCATAACAGTCTCAACCTCAAAATCCATCAAAAAAACGCACGTTTTCTCATTTCTATTCCATCATTCTTGTTATTGTTAGGATGCTTGAGTACAAAAATAAAAGTATAGGGTGGTTCATAGGATATGGTTATTGGATGGTATAAAAAACGGGCAAGGTTAAGTTCATTCATTAAAAAAAACTTTCAAAAAGATAAAACGAAAAGAATCAACATAACAACAAAAATATCAGAAGAATATCAATCAAAATAGAAACAAACAGTCAAAGTACAAAAAACTGAAGCAACCTACCAAGTTCAAACAACACACTTTGAGAGAAATAAGCAAATTAAGAAAATACAATATGACAATCTTTACAAACCATAAATACAATATAATTACAACATATCAGATTTTACGTGTTATAATTAAAGTATGATTATAATTTCTGATGAAAATATATGGGCAGCAAACCCTTTTACATGATCGCTTGAGCCAAACATCCATTCGATGCCTGGCATGTCTCAACCTATGGCAAACGTGATTTCTGAACACCCCTCCTTCCGCTACAGGGCTAGCTCTACTAGACCTTGGCGGATTCGAGGGCCTTAGCTCCTCTGGCTTTGCCAGTCTCAAAGACTTGATTCATTGTGCTCATGCGCCGCTCGCAAACTTCGCGAGTCATTGGCTTTGTGAGCAAATCTGCAAGATTCTTGCGTGTGTTGACAGCTTCAAGCTTCAGGTCTTCACACGCTACTCGTTCTTGCAGCCAAAGGAACCTTGTCTGTACATGCCTGAGCTTTCCTAGACCTCTCCTTGATGCTGCGCCACGTGCCGCAGAACTGTCTGACAAAACTGTGATTGAAACCTCGATTCC